CCATTAATGTTAAGTGCATGCAAGATGAAGCAGCAAGTGCTGATTTAGAAGCTGCAGCAAGTTATCAAGAAGATCTAGCTGAGGTCCTTAATGAAGGTGGCTACCCTAAGCAACAGATTTTCAATGTAGACAAAACAACCTTATACTGGAAGAAGATGCCATCTAGGACTTTCATAGCTAAAGAGGAGAAGTCAATGTCTGGTTTCAAAGAACAGGCTGACTATCTAACTAGGGTCTAAGGCAGCTGGTGACTTGAAGTTGAAGCCAATAATTTACCATTCTGAAAATCCTAGGGTCCTTAAGAATTATGCTCAATCTACTCTGCCTGTGCTCTATAAATAGAATACCAAAGCTTGGATGACAGCACATCTGTTTATAGCATGGTTTGCTGAATATTTTAAGCCCACCTTTGAAGGCTATTGCTCAGAAAAAGATTCTTTTCAAAAATATTACTGTTCATTGACAATGCATCTGGTCACCGAAGAGCTCTGATGGAGATATACAATGAGATTCATGTTGTTTTCATGCCTGCTAACACAACATCTATTCTGTAGCCAATGGATTAAAGAGAAGTTTTGACTTTCAAGTCCTATTTAAGAAATACACTTCATAAAGCTATAGCTGACATAGATAATAATTCCTTTTATGGACCTGGGCAAAATAAATTGAAAACCTTCTGGAAAAAATTCACCACATTCTAGATGCCATTAAGAACATTTGTGATTTATGAGAAAAGGTCAAACTATCAACATGGGTTTGAGAGAAGTTGATCCCAACCCTAATGGGTGACTTTGAAAGTAGCAGGAGAACTGGAATTAGAAGTGGAGCCTGAAGATGTGACTGAATTGCTGTAATCTCAGGATAAACCTTTAACAGATAAGGAGTTGCTTCTTATGGATGAGCAATGATAGTGTTTTCTTGAGGTGGAATCTCCTCCTGGTGAAGATGCTCTGAAGATTGTTCAAATGACAACAAAGGATTTAGAATATTAGATAAATTTAGTTGATAAAGCAGTGGCAGGGTTTGAGAGGATTGACTCCAATTTTGAAAGAAGTCTACTGTCGGTAAAATGTTGTCAAACAGCATTGCATGCTATCGAGAAATTGTTCATGAAAGGAAGAGTCAGTTGATATGGGAAACTTCATTGTTGTCTTATTTTAAGGAATGCCACAGCCATCCCAACCTTCAACAACCACCACCCTGGTCAGTTGGTAGCCATCAACATCAAGGCAAGACCCCCCACTAGCAAAAAGATTACAACTTGTTGAAGGCTCAGATTATGTTTAGCATTTCTTAGCAATAAAGTATTTTTCAATTAAGGTATGTACATTGTCTTTTTAGACATAATGCTACTGCAATTTAACAGATTATAGTGTAAAAATAACTTTTATATGAACTGGGAAATTTTTTTAAATTTGGGACTCACTTTATTGTGATATTTTCTTTATTGCAGTGGTCTGAAACCAAAACACAATACCTCCGAGGTATGCCTGTACATGTTCCATTCTCTTTGATCTAAAGACAAGCAATCACAAACTCTAAACNGAATAAGTTCTATAAGGCGTTCACAGAATAGATTCATCTTTCTTCCCCAAAAAAGTCCTTGGGATCCAGGGACCCATTTCTGGAAATTCATTCGTGCTCAAGGAAATCCATCCTCTCATTAAAAAAAAATCTTACGGAGCTACATGAATGACACAAAGGACTTTTCCCAGCTCTAAGATTCTGTGTGTAAAACCTGTTAGTCTAAATTTATTTCCAAAAGATAGACCCTCCGCGGGGTCTGCTCCTGCGGGGAAGGTGGGACCCCCGCTTGTGCCCCGGCCCCCAGGTGTGGCTTTCTCAAGTTTGGGGTGAAGCCCCCAACCCCCTTGGGCTCTACATCGGGGCGGTGGGCTTGGGGGAAGGCGCACGGTCTCTGGGGTTTCTCAGCAGGAGAATCCAGGGCTGCGGCGCAGGAACCCAGAGGCCCTGGGTGGGGCGCAGACTCGCCAGGCCTGGGTGTCCCTGTTGCGCACAGCTGCTGAGAACAAGGTCCGCAATGAATTTCTGCCTGGCAAACGGGGACTGTTGGCGGCTCCATCCTCCCCTTCCGTTGGCACAGTCCCATCGCAGCCCTCCCTTCCAACAGGCAAAGCCTGTGACCTGCGGCCGGACGGCTCCACACCCTCACGCCCCGGTGCTCACCCCTCGCCGGGAACAGGCATAACCCCTTGGCTGGCCTCTCCGGACGGCTCGAGCGGGACGGCTTCTTCGGCGCACCCGTCACCCACCCCGAGCCCAGGGGCCAGCAGGGAGGTCTGAGGGACCCTCGGGCACGGGCGGGACGGAGGCACGGGCTTCGCGGCTGGGCCGGCCCTCCTCGCGGCCTCCTGCCTCTGCGCCCCGACCCGGAGTGCGCTTCCCGTGGCCCCGTCTCGTTCCCACCCCCGTCGCGCCTCTTGCCCCCCCCCCCGGGCCGCGGGCTCCACACGGAGCAGCAGGGCGTCGTGAGGGTGCGGGATGGCGCCGCCCTAGGGTCTTCCCTGACACCTACCGGCTGTTCCGACCACATCCCGGACAGGCACCTGCAGATCAGTGGAGCAGAGTCTGCCCGGGTCTCCTCCCCCCTGACGAGGGGCCGACTGGCACCGCGCACGAAGCGGCTTTGGCGGAAGGGAGACCAAGGGGGAGGGGTCGGTGGGGAGCCTGACTCGCAGTCACTTCCGACGGGACGCTGAGTCCCCAGGGCTGGGGGCTGACCCGCCTGAGCACTCCCACAAGGGGGTGGTTAGGAAGGAGGGACCCTGTTCCTGGGGCCCAGGGCGCTCCCGGGTCAGGAGGAGTCGCCAAGTGTGTCAGGTGCCGTGGACAGCTGAGGCATGTTTCGCCCAAAGGTAAGTTCCAGCGCATCGCAGAGAGCAGAGGAAATACACACACGGTGGTGAAAACTCCCTGTTGCTAAGGGTTGAAATGAACCAATAATTCCTCCTGTTTCTCAGGGTGTTCCGTTTCGCTGTTAATGAAATGTATTTCCAAGGAATGCAGGCATGTGGCTGAAAAGGCCAGCAGTGCCTGGGGGTCACAGCGAGACCCTCCCATCTCGCCCCCTCGGCCATCCTGTGCTCTGGGAGCAGAGTTCTCAGCTACAAGTGAAACACAGTAGCTTCCATATCCGGATTCTAAGATCTTCTAAAGCCCTTTAAAGGCCCCCTTCTCTGAGTGGTGCTTGACCTGCTGGTGTTTGGGGCGGCAGGATGGCTGGATGTAGGGTCTGAGGGCCATCCTGAGGGAAGGGCTTTGGAGGCCTGTGTGAGCCTGAGACCGGGGGCCCAGTGCCCGTGTTCGAGGGGAGGCCAGAGCTGACTCCAGCCATGCCGAGCCAGATGTCGCCCTCCTTCTCGACAACCCAGCAAAGCCTGTCGCTCACATTCCTGGCTGTGCTGCTTACACTTGCCCTCTGGGAAGGCCAGCCTGGCAGAGCTCTGTTCCTGCCCTCTGGGCTGCTGGGAACTGAGTACCTAGCCTGGGTGCTGGAGGGGAGGAGCCATAGATGGTGGAGGCCCAGTGCCCGCCCAGGGTGCTGCCCCTCTGCTGAGCTGAAACTTCTAATCAACGTTTTAGTAAAACCAAAAGGGACGTGATACTGTTCTACCACCTGTGCCCGACCAATGTTAGCCCTTTGTCATATGGGGCAGTGCTGTCTAATGGTAAAGCTTCCAGCATCAGATCCCCAATCCCTTCTCCTACCCCCTCCCATGGGGGTTCAGTGGGTATATCTGTATTTCATAGAAACTGAAACTCTGATTTTACAAAGGAGCTGGAGGTCTGGAGAAAGAACTGGTCTGATCTCAGTTAAGAATGCAACTTTATACCTGGACGATACTAGAGCACTTTAGCACCTCATGTGTTTGAAAATGAGATCTTCACAAAGACCTCATGGGCAGGAGACAGGCAGGAGAGGGGACAGACTGAAGCTCTGTGACTGACTGATCAAGTAGCAGAGGTCCAGCTGACTTCCAGGCCTACCGCTGATTTACTATCACCAGAGCCACATAACACACCTTCCACATAGAGAACCAGCAGAAAAATGAGTTTGAAGAGCATTTTAGCTAAATCCAAGGTCATTCTGATCATTAGTGAAAGTCATTCTGTTCCTACATGCTGCCCACACCCTGACCCCCCTTCCTAAAACCAAATACGTTCTGAGATTAAGGTGGAAGTGACAAACCTGGAGGTGACCAGGCTTTACTTTATCATCTCTTTCTTCTTCTTCCACGTGTGTTCCTGGTCTTACTCTTCCCGGTTCTTATGCAGGTAGCGGTCCAGCAACTCTGTCAAGCAAAATCACACACCCTAAGGATGACTTTCATAGACTCCTCCCATACAGGCAGTTTTCAAAAGGTCTTCCTTCCTACCCACCCCCTCCCCCCAAAAAAATCAATCTTCATCTCAGAAGCCCTGAAAGGCACATATTACCTCAACATTTAATATTTAATACAACCTTTAGATCTAGTTCAGATAACTGCCAGTTGCCCCCAATTCACTCTTTGTAAGACAAGTCTACCTGAATCACAAGGTTAATAACCTGACTGCAAACCCAGCATCCTTAAGCTATCTATGGTCACGCTGACAACTCACTATAAAGTTCTCCTTTTTTTTTTTTTTTTGGTTTTTTTTTGTGTGTGTGTGTGTGTTTTTGCGGTACCCGGGCCTCTCACTGCCGTGGCCTCTCCCGCTGCGGAGCACAGGCTCCGGACGCGCAGGCCCAGCGGCCACGGCTCACGGGCCTAGCCGCTCCGGGGCATGTGGGATCTTCCCGGACCGGGGCACGAACCTGTGTCCCCTGCATCGGCAGGCGGACTCTCAACCACTGTGCCACCAGGGAAGCCCTAAAGTTCTTCTTTTTAAAAGATTTCAGAAAAGTAATTTCAGTCATCAAGATTACATATTGCACAGAACAAAAAGGTTTATTATTCTTACTGTTCTCTGGATGTAACTCTACGTGTCTTTTCCTCCTATGTGAAGAGAAGGGAAAAAGAGAAAAACAATCTTTCAAAAGAAGATCAAAACCAAAAGCATGAGTCAAAGTATTAAATAAATACATTTGATGTGGTTAAAAACAGGGGTTGGGGTTAATCTCGGTTTGGGGGAGATCTGGGCAACCTTCAGTCTGGTGTTGATGTCCCACCAACCTCAAAACAAAGAGAGGCCCAGGAGCTGGTCCGGCACATGTCTGTGCACTAGAGGTTATCTAGTGATGCTACGTAAGTCAAAGATCCACCTCATGTCAGGAATTTGTTAATACTAGAAAAAAAACCAAAGTAGTAATTTGGGATTCACATCAGGAAGTGATGATGACAACCTAGACGGGACGCCAGCTGTTCTCTGATGAATACCTTAGAACACTACTTCCCTAAGTTCACAACACTTGCCATCTCCAGGATATCTGTATTTACGTATTTAAGAGGGATAAAAATATTGTCGTGATGAAACCGATCTATGTCTTTTCTGAGGTGGAGGTTACAAGAATGCATGCGTCCATACACGTGACCATACATTCACAGTGAATAAAGTCTGTAGATTATGCCGATGTCCATTTTCTGGTTTTGCTATTACAGTTACGTGCGACGTCACCATTGGAGAAAGTTGGGTAAGCTACACAGGACCCCTCTGTACTATATTATATGGAGTTAATCTGTATGTGTATATATAAAATTCTGCCTCCAGACTGCCTTTAGACTTGAGCTACAACATCAACTCTTCCCTGGGTCTGCCTCTCTTGGCCTGTCCCGCATATTTCAGACTCGCCAGCCTGAAGTCGTGTGACTCAGTTGCTTAAATTAATCTCATATACACAGACATCACTGGGTCTGTTTCTCTGTAGAACCCTACGATAGATTTTATACTAATACACTACAGTAATATATACATACATATAATCTGAAACAATACAGAAGAAACTGATACGTGCTCGCCTCTCGCAGGAAGGACAGGACGGAGAGCGGGGAGCACCACCCCTATGTATCAAACAGCCTTTTGTGCTGCTGCCAGCCCGGCCGCCCCAGGTCCAAGCAGATATAATGGCGTGTGGCCCAGGCAGTGGCTACACAGCTAAGGATTTTAAGGCACAATGCAGTGAGATGCCAGGGCCACGGTCACACACGTGGAACATTCTAAAGCCAAGAGCGGTCGCAGGATTCTGCGCATGGGCCCCCGAGGGCACTCTGGAGGCCGTCGCAGACCCTCAGGTCCCACGTGAGGAAACAGCCCGCTGGAACACAGCAGGCGGCCCTCCTCCCAGATCTCACCCGCGTCAGCCTCCCAGGCACCCGGCCTCCTCTGCACAGCACAGGGCAGGCTCACAGAGGGAATAGTGGCCCAAACCCAAAGGTCACACCAAACCCCACGGGAGAAGAGTAAAGCAAGGTGATGAGGGGAGAAGGGAGGGGTGAACTATGTTTCACGGCTACTAAGGATAAACCAATTATTACATTTTGAAAAATGCGCTGGCCAGGGCCAGCCAACCCGTACAGGACAAGTGCAGTAAGAGGGGCGGGGAGGCAAGGGAAATGTATCAGCTGGAGTTCTCCCCACTTTCAGTTTCCCTCCCCTGGGCTGTCCCCCCGCCCTGCCCACTGCTCAGGCCGCCCACCCCGGCCACCCGGAGTTACCCAACCGGAAAAGCCAGAGCCGGGCTCAGCCGCGCCTCCTGGCACAGGAAGAGCAAAAATAGAAAGCGCCAGTGCCCAGTGGCGGGCTGGAAACCCTCGGACCTCAGATAACTGCGGATAACCGGGGTCCAGAGCCAACTTAGGCACCCGGGCGGTCCCAGCTTTCCGACTCCGCCCCCGGCCGCGACAGTTTCCACAAACGGACACACACGGAGCCCGCGAGGAGGGCGGGTCGCGCGGGCTTCCCTGCTGGGTCCCCTGGAGGCCAGTTCCCCCGCAAGCCGAGCGCACGGAAGGGCGCCCCAAAGGCGCCAGCACAAGGTGCCCGCTGCGCTTTCCCTCCAGAAGGTGGGCTGCGGGGCCCAAGCGTAAACCCTGAGTCAAGGAACACGCGCACCACGCCGCCACGGGGGACGAGAGGCCGGGCGCCCACCTAGCCGGACACCCTGCATTTCTGGAATCACCGGACGCCTGTGTAAATTTCCGTCTGGCGTGTCATTTTCTAAAGGCCACTCAAGATCAGGGGACAGAATGCCTCCTCTCCAAGTGTCCTGCCAGCCCACACACTCAAGATCAGAGGGACAAAATGCCTAACTAAAACAAAACAAAAACACAAAAAACTGGAGAGTGGGAGGAAAGGGTGTCCTCAAAAATAAAAAAAACTAAGCACGTAGACAGCACTAAGAATAAACTACCAGGAAAAACAAACCCTACATGGGCTTCCCTGGTGGCGCAGTGGTTGAGAGTCCGCCTGCCCATACATGGGACTCGGGTTCGTGCCCCGGTCCGGGAAGATTCCACATGCCGCGGAGCGGCTGGGCCAGTGAGCCATGGCCACTGAGTCTGCGCGTCCAGAGCCTGTGCTCCGCAACGGGAGAGGCCACAACAGTGAGAGGCCCGCGTACCGAAAAAAAAAAGGAACCCTACATGTCAGATCCTAAAGTACGGGCAAGCCCGCCGGCAGTCCAGGCCCGGGGTGACCGGGGTCCCCAGCCCTGCAGAGCCAACCGCAGACCGGCTCGGGCGCCCCTCGCGCGGCCGAGATCGGGCCCCAGCCGGCGCCGGCTCCCCTCTGCCCAGCGCCGGCTCCCCTCTGCCCACCCTGCGCGCGGGGGCTGGAAACTGCCGCGGAGAATCACGGCGGGGCGGGAACGGGGGCTCCAAACAGGGTCTGGCGACTCGAGCTCCGTTTCTCGGTGGGCTCAGCACGCGCCGTGGGGGAAGAGGGGCGGGGGTGCGGGAGGAGGAGACGGGCGGCACTCACGTAGACCACCGGCAGCGGCCACGGGTAGACGGCGGGCTCGGTCCCCACGAGCGACTCCAGCCTCAGCTTCTCCCGGATGTCTTCGCGCGCGGCCCCCGCACCGCGCTAGTCTGGCGGTTGGCGGAGGGGCGCGGCGCCGCCGGCGGGGGCGGGGCAGACGGGCAGGCGTGGAGGCTGAGGGGAGAGGGCCTGGCCTGGGTCTAAGCCTCCGCCGACGCACTCCCGTCCGGCCCCCGGCTCCCTCTTTGTGGTCACAGGCCCGGGGCCTCCAGCGCTGCCGCCAACTCGGGCCGGCCGTGAGGCGAGCAGAACGAGCCGGGGGCCGGGCTGAAACAGTCCCGGCGCGCGCAGCCCGCCCCGTGGACTCGCCCGGTCTCACGCACGCACGCGCGTCTTCCACTGCCCACGGCCACCCCCTCCAGCCCGAACTGGGGACCCGGGGCCTGGGGTGGCGGGTTCGATTCCCGCCCTTGACGTACCGTGACACACACCACCACCACCACCACCACCACCACCACCACCACCACCACCACCACCACCCCTGCCAATAATAAGACTGTAATTCCTCATTAAATACGACAGCCGGAATCCCGGCTTCTGTTCCCGTGTATTTAGCCTATGCTAAGCACCAGACCGCGGACGCTCAGTACTGGCAAAAAAAGGAAATGCCCTGCCCTCACAGCACTGCCATTTTAATTGGAATAGTAGTGACAATGGTCAAGGGAGAAAATAAAGTGTCACCATCGCCACGGGGATGGTTAATCTCATGTGCGCACTGCGTGGGGCCCAGGCAACCACAAACATTATTCCAGATGTGGCCAGGAAGGTATTTTTCAGAAGAGATTAATACTGAAATTGGTCCACTTTGCGTAAAGGAGATTGTCAATGCCGCGGCGTGGGTGGGCCTCGTCCATCAGTTGAAGGACTGGAGAGAAAAATGAGGTTCCCTAGAAAGAGGGAACTGTTCCTCCAATGGCCTTGGGACATCAGCTCTTCCCTGTGTCTCTAGCCCAGAGTCCTGCCCTGACTTGCCTGCCTCACGGTCACATGAGTCAACTTCTTAAAACAAAACTATATATGTAAAAATATTGAATATATACAAGCCTATTAATTTGTATATGTGTGTATACATATTATATATATGTATACACATGTGTTTATATGTGCGTGCGTTTGTAGTATATGTGTAAGTACTATATACAGTATACATACAAGCCTATATATTTGTGTGTATATATTGTATACATGTATGTATGTGTATATATATAGTATACATATAAACGTGAACATGCTGTATATATACACACACCCATATATTGATATATGGGTGTGTATATATACAGTATATGTACACTATATGTTTGTATACAGTGTATATTTATATATAGGTGTGTATATATGTTGTATACCTGTATGTGTATATGTTGTATAGGTATTATATGTATATATGTATATATACACACTTGCGTATGTATTTATATGTGTATGTACATATTTACATATAGGTGTGTATGTGTGTATACATTGTATATATGTATGTGTATATATTATACATATGATATGTGTATGTATATATACGACGAATTTATATATACAGTATATATATTTTTATGCTACATGCTTTTATATGTAGGTGTATATGTGTGTCTATATGTATGTATGTGTATGTATTGCATATATTATATGTGTATGTATGTATACTGTATATATACACACCTAAATATCTGTGTATGTGTGTATATATGTATGATATAGACGTACCTAGGTGTGTATATTTCATATGTTATACATATGTGTACATACTGTATATATACAAACTATGCATTTCATGTGTGTATGTATAATGTATATGTATGTGTCTATTGTATATATTATGTGTATATGTGTGTATACATACTGTATATATACAAACTATGCATTTTATATATATGTGTGTATATGTGTGTATTGTATATACTATATGTGTATATGTCTGTATGCATACTGCATATATACACAGCTGTATATTTTTGTATGCATGTACGTGTGTGTGTATATACACACACACCCTATGGATTCTGTTTGTCTGGAGAACCCTCACTGATACGGACACTTATGACAATTGAGCACCTGCTCTTTGCCAGCCAGGGAGCCAAACGCTTGTCCTTTCTGTGTCTCCCTTAAGTGTCACAAGTCCCGGGAGGGAAGATGATGCCGCTCCTACCAGTTGAGATGCCTCAGGGTCAGAGAGGTGCACAGGGCGGGGGGCTGGAGCCTGGTGGAGCCCAGGTGGAGTTCTAGCAGCAGTACAGCCCAGCAGTCCCACTTCCCCGGGTGCCTCTCACAAAGACGCCGAGGGAAAGACGGGGTCTGAAGGAGGGGATGAGGAAGCTTCCGTGGGTCTGCAAGCTCAGACCAAGGCTGACTCGTCAAGGGTGTTAGACGTCAGGACTGTGGTTACCCTGGGGATGGGGTTACACAGAGCCATTCCCATTCTGAAAAAGTATCCATTCTGCTCTTGTTTGTATGTTTACCCCCCTCCCCCAAATCTTTTAAAAACAAATTCTCTTGGTTGCTGGGAGCACACACGGGGAAGTTGTGCGTGAGAGGGTGTGATCCAGGGGACAGGGAGGATAAGCCCCCCACTCGTAGGGTCAGGAGCGGCTCAGCTTTGTGAGCTAAGGATGGCCCGCGAGGTCCCAGAGAGAAGGGTCCCTGCTCCGTCCCTGCTCCGTGCACCCCATTCCCAGCCTGAGAAGTCCACAGCCCCCCCCCCCCCCCACACACACACCAGGGAGGAGAGCCAGTCACCCTGGCTCCCAGGCTCCGGCTCCAAGGCTCCCGGCACTAGGAGCTATTTTCAGCTTTCATGCCTTAGGACACGGCCAGAGCTATTGTCTCCGGAAACTCTCTGTCTCTCGCCCGCCCGCCATCCCTCCCTCCCTCCTCCGCCTCTTCCCCTCCCGCTCCAGCTGTCCTGCCCTCCACCCTGCATTTCTACACAGGATGGCTCACAGACAGCTGCTCTCCGTGCCCACCCGCCACCATTCGATGGATGTCAAAGCAAGCCCTGGGGACTTCCCTGGAGGTCCAGCGATTAAGACTCCGAGCTTCCACTGCAAGGGGTGCGGGTTCAAAGNCTGGTCAGGGAAATAAGATCCCACATGCCGCCCAGCACGGCCAAAGAAATAAATGAGTAAAAANTAAAGTTATAGTGATGAAACAGCCCTAGTGGTGCAAGGATGGGACGTATAGCTCTATGGTAGAGAATAAAGGTCCAGAAACAGATAGATGAGAACTTGATATGACAGAAAGTGGGGAAATTAAGGAGTTTTCAATAAATGGCATTAGGACAATTGCATATCCATATGGGAAAAAGTAAATTAGAAAAAAAGAAAAAAAGCAAGCCCTGGTCAGGTGTGACCTTGGGCCCAGGGCCATTGGCACACGTTGTTGTGTGGGATGTTCTTCCTTAGACTCCTCCCTCCCTCCTGTGTCACTGTCACTTCCTCCAGAACCTTCCTGGACTCCCCTACACAAGCCCGGGGTGTGCCCTCACCCGCCCTGGATCACCGGAATTCCAATCCTGGCCCACCCTTCCCTGCCAGGTAAAGAACTCCCTGGTCAATAAGACCGTAGAGGTCCTTTGCCATTGCTATTGCAGTTGGAATTGTTACTGTGTTTACACAGGGTGACCAACACCCGCCCCCAGTTTGCCCAGGACCGCTCAGGTTTGAGCGCTGGAACTGTGGGGAAACCCTCATTTCTGGGGGAACCCAGAAGGCTGGTCAGCCTATTTAGGATGGATCTTTCACTTGATATCCCAACCCCCGAGAGCCAGAAAGGGAATCTCCCCCCTCCTTCCATGGTAACCTTCATTCACTCATCCACTCATCCCTTTATTCAACTCCTTTATTCAGCAAGTATTTGTGAAGCATCAACTACATAGGAGACACTCTTCTAGGTGCTGGGGACAGTAAACTGAGAAGGTGTGATTTATTACATGGGGATGATGTCTCGGAGACCACTGCAGGGCAGGGGAGGTGGGAGAGGGAAGGGGCAGTTCCAAATGCAGGCTCTGACGGGATTGGGGCAGACCTTGCCTTAAGCCAGGCTGGTTGCTTCAACACAGCTGTCCTCACCCAGGGCCATCCTGCTCCCGCCTCACCCAGTTCTTCAGTGATGTCTGGGGAAAATCTGTGGTTGTCACAACTAGGGGGGAGGGGCCCCTGGAATCAAATGGGTGGGGACAGGGATGCTGCTGAACCCCACACAGTTCCCAGGAGGGGCCCCCAGCAGAGGGTGACCCGCCCCAAATAACCCCAGTGCCGTGGGGGAGACCCTGCACTAATATTATTCAGACCCGCTGGTGCCCATAGATTCCTGCACAGGCAGGGACTCTAACCGGGTCACCTCTGTATCCCGAGGTGACTTAAGAGTAGGGCAGTGAGGAGGGCTGAGTATCAGGGATGAAATGACAAATCTCTGTGCCCACTCTCCCCGCCGCAACCCAGGGTCGATGGCCTCTATCTCCTCCCTGTGCAGGTAGCTTTTCCCTGAGCCATTTCTTCTTGTCAAAGTCCCTGTCGAAGGTTGGGTTCCCCGAAGATGACGTTGAGAGCAAGGATTGGAGTGCAGGTGGTTGATGTGAGACGTGCAGAGAACAGATACAGCTGCCATAGGGTCCCGCAATTCCACTCCTGGGCATAGATCCGGAGAAAACTCTAATTCAAAAATATACATACACCCCTGGGATTTCCCTGGTGGTCTAGTGGTTAAGACTCTGTGCTTCCAGTGCAAGCAGCATGGGTTCCATCTCTGGCCAGGGAACTAAGATCCCACATGCTGTGTGACAAAAAAATAAAGAAAGAGAGAAAGAAAGAAAGAAAGAAAGAAAATATACATGCACCCCAATGTTCATTGCATCACTATTTATAATAGGCAAGATGTGGAAGCTACCTAAATGTCCACTGATGGATGAATGGATAAAGAAGATGTGGTACATATATACAATGGAATATATTCAGCCATAAAAAGAATGAAATAATGCTATTTGCAGCAACGTCGTGGATGGACCTAGAGATTATCATACTAAGTGAAGTAAGTCAGAAGAGAAAGACACATATATGATCTCTCTTATATGTGAAATCTAAAATACGACACAAATGAACTTGTCTACGAAACAAAAACAGACTCACAGACATAGAGGACAGACTTGTGGTTGCCAAGGGGGAGAAAGAGTGAGGGAGGGTTGGATTGGGAGTTTGGGGTTAGCAGACGCAAACTATTAAATATAGGATGGATAAACTACAAGGTCC